GTTTCTGCCAGGTACGCGCGCAGGCGGCGGGGTAGGGAGGCAGGGTGGGTCACACTCATGTCAAGGCGAGCGGCGCAAAAGGTCGCGACCATAAAAAGGCCGCAGTCGTCGCTGTGTCTGCGCTGACGAGCGCACTGTCCGTGGACAATGGTAAGTGAGGGCCACATCTTCACAAAGATCCTTCTCAGATCCTTGTGCACCGGTTCCGATGGTGCCGAATCGTATATCTTCAGGCGGGTTGAGCCGTCGTCGACCATCTCCAGGATGCCAGCAATCCAGTGGCTCCGGAGGAAAAGCGGGAAATAGAGTCTCCTTGTCCGTTGCAGGGATTTCTCAATACCGCACACCCGCGAAGGAGTTAGCGAAGGCAGCGTGTCGCATCGCAACACGGCCTTCCCAGGGAAATAATGCTGGAGGATTCTGTCAATCTCCACATTATTTGTTTTGCCCGCGGCAAAGTTTCCGCCCTCTAGCATCGCATCTTCCGTCTGAAGGCAGTTGACGGGTGCAGTGTTAACGCGGCCGGGATTCTTGCACGCGGGGGGACTCAGTTTTTTGGCGACGCTTCGTTCGGGGCAACGCCACCTCCGTATCCCCACGGTCCGTTGCCCCCACGGCCACGGTAGGTAGAGTAGCCTCGTCCGTACCGCTGGCCACGTCCTCGTCCGCGCCCCCTATTTCCATCGTACGCTGTGTGCTGGCTTAGCATGGTGGTTAGTTGTTTGAGGCCACCGGTGACTTGGGCAAGAATGTTTTCAGTTTGCGACATGTCCATTGCCGCAATTTGTTCACCCTGGGCATTGTAGATTGGCTCTGCGTAACTGCCCCCTTCTAGGAGATCAAAGGTGGTGGTGGCGTATAAAGCCTTACGGCGATTCCTCTTCGTTCATCTCGCTCCCGCCAGTCAGTTTACCATGGCTGACAATGTCTCGCACGTCTTCGTTGAGGTTTGCGATTTCCGAATACGGTGGGAAGAGTGGCATGGGGCAGTTTTCGAGGATTTCGCCAAATAGGCGTCGCTCCTGTGAGTGCAGACTCTTGTAAATTTGGTAATTGTGGTACTGCATCGTCTTATTATGTGGGCCAAAGAGCAGGAGTTTCATCAGACACACCCGGCCGTACTCCTTATCCGGTGTGAAGAGAGTGTAGAGGCAAACAAGGACAACCGTCGGTGGAAGGCGCTTCTGTCTTGCCAGAGCGATGAATCGCTCTTTCATCTGCGCGTCGGTTAGCTCTTCCACGTCCTGCCACCAGGATTCCGCTTCCTTTATAATCCGCATCCAAGGGTTGTACTGAAGCTCCGCCTGTTCCGCGAGGTACGTAGTGGCGTCCAGGGTTTTCGTGTTGGCCTGCGTTGTAGCCTCCGTCAACAATTTGGCATAGGTTTCCTTGGTGATTTTTCCCTCATCGAGCTGCTTCGTGATGTCCCTCACCACACTGTCCAAAGGAGCAGACACCTTCTTGTAAAAGACAAGGTTCTCTTGAGCGAGATGAATAAACAGAGGATGTGTATTGCGATGGAATGTTGTTGCAAGTTTCTGGTGAGAACTGAGGCCGTGATAAATAACTTCGAGAAAAGTACGCAACGATTGTGAGAAATCAAGCTGTCCACTTTCGTTTGCCAGACAAGCGACGAGGGAGGAGGAAAGAAAAGGGGTGACAAAAGGGGGTTTTAGGATGAAAGAAAACCTATCCAGGCAATACTGCTAGCAGCAGTACCTCGTATACGCCGTATGTACATTGTTTGTTCATCTTTACGGAAGGCACTAATACCTCGTGATACACTCGCGTCTCGACACGCTCATACTCGGTTGAGTAGCGCTTTCTCTCGATGCTGAAAACAACTGTGCCAGGCAAACCAAAATACGGAAGAACCAGGATTCAGGAGGTAATAGAAAAGGAGAAGATAGTTTAGAGCATTACCCTAAATGACCGAGATCCGCCAATCTCTCCGCTGCCAATCACATTCAACTCATTTTTTCCGTCCCTTCCATTCCCCTCGCAGGCTCACAGAAAAAATGAGAAAAGGACGAGAAGAGAGCCAAAAAAAAAACAAATGAAAAAATAAATATGAATTTAAATAGATAATAATAATAAATGACAAGGGAACAGCGACGTTCCTCGTTCATTTGACGAACAGGCAGACGTCGTCAACGCCACTTTAAGTAAACACACACAGAGAGAGAGAGAGAGAGAGACGGAGAGGGGGAACAAACAAAGAAAAAGGCAAAGGGAAATCAGCTCGAAAGAAAAGAGAGAGAGAGAGGGAGAAAGAGTCAACGGGGAAAACAAGGAAAGCAGGGTTGATTTTGTGATGATTCATTTCTGGAGAATACGGCACACACGCACACGCACACATAACGAAGAGCTGGTAGCGAAAACAATACAAGAACAAAAAAAAAGAAGAAGGGTTAAGAATTCGCGCGACATCAACAGCAAACAATGGTAATACCACCATTACTACTAATAATAACGACTGACATTACACGAAGACAAAAGCAGAGGAGGAACAACGCCGATACAGCGATCGAACACGCTGCAGCACACACACACACAAACAAAAAGTATTCTACACAAATGAATCGATAACACACGCACACGCACACGAACACACGCTTCACACATACAACAATGGAGAAAGCGATTCTTCTTTTTACAGTTTACCGCTCCGGCTGTCTACCGAAGACGAAGGCGAAAACAAAAAAGAACAACGCTACTGCAGCAAAAAAAAAGCAGGGCTATGCATTTGTGCCACTGCTTCCTGCGGACGAGCACAACAACGAGGCGAAGTAGAAACTTATGAATTTGTATCTACACAAAAAAAAAAACGCGAAGATGTGAAAGAGGGGAATAGACGATAGGGGGAAGAAAGGCCGGACACTCACCTACACACGCCGGAGTCAATCCGCAGCAGCAGTAGATGCATTTTGCTGCTCGCGCAGCTTATCAAACCGACTCAGGTCTACCGACCACGGCGTAAAGCTCGCCGTTGCCGGTCGGCGCCGCTTCGTGCTGCTGTCGCGTGGCTGCGTCAGCAGAGCGGACGACACCGACGTGCGCACGTTGCCCTCGCCGAAGAACAAGGGCGCCGCCGCATCACTGCTTCCCACGCTGCTGACACCGCCGAGGGAGAGCTGCTTATGCACGAGCGACATGGTGGCACCACCGCTGCTGTTCATCCCTGCGTTCAAGCCTTTCTGTGGCTCCCCGCTCGTCGTAACCCGGTCACCGCCGCTGCCGTTGATATCGTTGCCTTCTTTGTCCCTTCCGCCACTGCCTTCGCCGTTATTCGTGCTGCGTAGGGCTCGCCCGTTCCCATTGGACCCCTGCGGACGCGCCGGTTGCATTACGTAGCTTCCGCTCCCCTTGTACTGATTCCCGCTTCCCTCGTGCGACAGGGTGAGGGGGGTGCATTGAAAGAGCAACGCCGCCACCGCCTCATTACCGCTGTACTGCTGCTGCTGCTGCTGGCGTAGCCCTCCGTTGTTCACCGGGCGATCGGCGTTCACGTCGTTGCTGCTGCTGCTGCGCTCGACCACCATGTTTTGTTTGAACAACGGTAGCTTCATGGCACACGGGTCGCCGTTCGGGTTGTGGGCCACGAGGGTCCCGCTGCCGTTGAGCGCGGTGATGCCGGGGAAGTGCACGACGGGGGCCGTGGCTGAGGCGCTGCCGCTGTTGACCAGCCCGCGTGCGAGCTGCGGGCTCAAAGTCGCAGGGCCACTGTTGCTGCTGTTCTGCTCGGAAGGCTGCTGCGGCATCGCCGTTGAATGTGGATGATACACATTATCGCTCTTGCTGTGGCCGTTGCTGCCGCCGGGGGTATTGTGGGCCGCCGCGTCGAGGTCACACGAGGAGCTGTTCGACACGTCACGTGCCTTCGCAGCCATCCTGCGCAGACAGCGAACGGAGCTGCGGCCAACCGGCTCGCCGCGATGCTCCGTGCTGCCGGTGCTGCTGTTGCGCGACGACGCCGCCGCCGTTGAGGAGGAAATTGAGGATGAGGTGTTGCGGGGCTGCATCGGTTTATGTGGCAGCACCTCATCCAGCCCCGCAACCAAGCTGACGGACGCGCTGCTCGGCCGGCGACTGGAGCCGTTCAGGTCGCTGCGGCTGCGCAGCCGGCGTTGGCTGCCGGAGCCGTCGGAGGCGTCGGGGTCGATGGGGCGGCGCGGTCCGCCGCGGTGGCTGTGTCGGCGACGTTCGCTCTCGCCCTCGCGCTGCTCGCGCCGGTGGAGGTGACGGGACCGGCGTGGCGATGACGGGCCCGAGGCGAAATCGCCACCGCCGGCTTTCTCCACGCGGTGACGAGGCGGGGTGCAACTGCGCAGCAAGTTCTGCGAGCTGCGCGACGACGTCGAGCTGCGATCGCGCGACTGGTGACGCCTGCTCACGGCCCCGTCGCCGGGCCCGTCACTCCCGGTGAGGTGAAGAGACTTGTTATTGGTGTTGCTGCCATTGTTGTTGCTAAGACTGTGCGTCGAGGTCGCACGTCGCCGCTCAACGCTGTTCGAGGCCGCGTTGCTCGCCGCCGCCGCCTTCGCTAGCCGACCACGTGCCCTGCCATCTAACAGGCTTTCGCTGCTAAAGCTGAAGGAGCCGTTGTGGCGGCCACTGGATCCATTCGAGCGGCCATGTGAGCGGCGGTGGCTGTGGTGGTGGTGGTGATGGTGGCTACCGCTGCTGCGCTTCTCGCTGTCAAGGCGATGAAGGCCGGAAGATTCGTGCGAGGACTGACGTGTCAGTGCTGCCACCGCGGCCGTGTTGGTGGTGGTCACGGTGGGGCGTCCGTCGTGGGGGTGGCGCAGCAGGAAGTCCTTGCTGTCTGCGCGCGTCGGCAGCGTGTCATCGCTGGTCTGCAGAGAGGCGATGGCGGTGTTGAACGAGCTCCCTCCCGCACTGACACCACCGCCGCTGCCGCCACTCCCGTAGGTCCCACTCCCGCCACGATAGTTTTTGCTCTCCGTGTTGGACAGCGTCGGTGGCTGCGGCAGCAACGAGGCGCTGCTGTTGCGCGCCGGCTTGAGCGTAATCAAGTTTCGGCCCTGTTCGCAGCTGCCATCAAGCACCGCTGCTGCTGCCGTGACCACGGTGGTGGACGACCCGCCCTGACGACCGCTGTCGCTGCGGCGTGGATCGTTGGAAGGCGGCGCGCCGGACGGCGGGTGAGCGACCTTCGCATTGTTGCTGCTACTGCTGTTGCCTCCGCTGGTGCGCCGGCGCACGTAGTAGCCGTCGGTCAACGAGAGCAGCGACGACCTGCGATGGTCGCGGCTGACGGCGTCCTCGTCCACTGTCATGACCGCTGTCGCGGAGGATGCAGAGGTGCTGTCGATCCGGTGGCGCTGCGAATGGGTGTTCGCGTACTCGCCGGAAAGGATCGGCTCCTGCGATGCGACGTCGCTCCCCGCCGTTGTGGGCGAGCTGCTGCTGCCCCCAGCACCGCCCTCCAGGCTGCCCCGACAGCTGTACTTGTCCTTCGGCGCGGGGCTCACGGCAGCAGTGGCGGTGGGGGAGGAAGAGGAGGTGGTGAGCTCGTCGTAGACCGGCATGGGGGTAGCGGTGCTGACCGTCGCTGGCCGCCCATCAACTGTTTTGCTGCCTTGGAGGCCCATCGCGGCACTCCCCGCTGCACGCGTCATGGGGCTGTAAAGGGTACTACTACTGCGGCTGTTGCTTCGTACAGCAGTTTGGCTTGCACCGCCCCCACCCCCATCCCCACCACCTGCCGCCGCTGCTGTGGCGGACGGTGCGAATGCTGCTGTGGAGGCTCTTGCACTGGGGCTCGCGCTCGCCCCTTGCACCGATGGATCGAGTTGACTCAGCACATTGTGGTGCTGTCGAAGCCATGCCGCGCCGAACATGTTCGGTCCCGTCGTGGTGCCGTTGTCGACGCTGCCGGCGATGATCGCTCTCGAACTGGCTGATGCTGCTGCTGCGGCGGTGGCGGTGGCTGCTGCTGCACCAGAGCGCGGGAAGGAGTTCTGAGGAAAAAGGACTACCGTGTGCGTGGTGCTCGCCGTCTGCTGCGGTGGCAGCGGCTGTTGAGGCGACAGCAGCGGGGAAGCCTCCGCCGCGTCACCCGGCACGTTCCGCTTCTCGATATGCCCTAGCGCCACCTCCATCGAGCCAGCGCCGGGCGTGGGGGCGCTCCCGGCCTCCGCGGGCACGACGTTCGGCGTGCCGTACAGGGCCGCCGCTGCTGGCGGGGCCGCAGCATGCGCTACGGTGCCGTCGCCATTGAAGAGGCTACCGAAGGAGTCGCCAACCCCGCCGGCGGCCGCGTGCGCCGCTGCCTCGTCGCTCCGTCGGGTCGAGCCCGGCAGGTTTCCGCGCCGCCGCCCGCCCGTTGCGTCATCGCGACTGTTGCTGCTGTCGTGGTGGTGGTGGTGGTGGTGGTTGTCGGCGGCGCTGCTGCTGAAACTGCTACTGCTGCTGCTCCGCCCAAGACTGAATTCGTCATCAAAGCGGTAGAGACTCGTCGCGACACCGCCCACGGCGCTTACAGGGCTTTGCGCGGTACGCGCCAGTCGTTGACGTGAGGCCTGCCGCTCCGGCGCGCGGCTCTTCTCGTTACTTGCGGTATCCGCATCTGCTGTGGTGCGTCGTGCCCGCTTTGCGTCGTCTGCCTTGTCCGCCGGCGCGAGACGCGGGGTGCCGCTCCTGCTGTACGACAAGCCGCTGCTGCTGCTGCGGAAAAGCGCCCGAAAGAAGCTGCTGTAGTGCGCTGGCGTCGACGAGGGCGGCGGAGGTGCCTTGCGCCGGCGACTGCTGCTGCTCCGCCGGCTGCCGTTGCTTCGCACCTCGTCAGCCGCGCCATTGTCATCGTCGCTGGGGGAGGCGGAGGCGAAGACATCCATGAAAGACCCGTAGCCTCCTTTGGCCATCAGCGATGGCGGCGCCGCACTGCTGAGGGGCCCGGCTTCCGCGGGCGCGGTGGACGTCGTGCGCCGCGCCTTTTGCTCGCTGAAGTCGAGTCGGCTCAGCTGCGTACCATCGAGGCTGCGCAGCGTCTCCTTCGTCATGGACGCCCGTCGCCGCGGCAGCAGCGTCGTAGAGGCGGGGGCGACGGCGACGGCGACGCTGAACGACGACGACGACTTTGCTGCTGGTGCCGTTGGCCGCACCGTAGAGGCGGGGGCAGAGGAGGTGCTTCCGCCGCCGACACGTGGCGTGCTCGTCGCGGCGTGTGCACTGGGATTGCCATGACCAACACCCACGTTGTTGCGCCGTGTACTCGTCGTCTCACTGCGCTGCGGCGACGACACGGAGGAATGTGCTGAGAGCGACAGCTTGCTGGTGCTTCGGCTTGATGGCGAGGTGGAATCGTTCTTGTTCGTGTGGGCGCCGTGCAACAGCAGCCTCCGCTTCCACCCAAAAATCCAACTTGATCTCTTCTCTGTGTCACTCGGTGGTGAAACCTTCCGGCTGTTGCTGTTGCCGCTGTGGTTGGCGCTTTTACTGTTCAGCCGACCGGCGCCCTCACTCGGCACCGGCACCGTGCTCGATGTCGCGGTCAGCGGGGTCACATCCAGGCTTTGGTCCTTCAAGGAGCGGCTGGCGGACGAGGCGGACGCCGAGGAGGATCGACGGCGCGCCGGCGCAGCGGCGGCGGAGACGGCCGTTCTGTCAGCGCCTCCGCGAGCTGTCGTAGCACGTGAGCTCGGCACCTCTGCGACGGCAGCGGTGACGGCATCGACGTCTCTCCCCACATCTCCCGCTAAGGAGCTTGTGCGACGTCGTCGCTGTGGCTGCAACTGTCGCTTCCGCTGCGGCGACGTGACCAGCGCCGTGTCGTCTGCTGCTTCTCGCAAAAGCTGGCGTTGCCGAACCTCGTTCTGCGTCATCCGCCGTCCGGTGGGGACGGTAGAGCGATACAACGGTCGCAGGCCCTCGTCTGCGCCTCCGTCATCGTCGCTATGACGACTGGCATCACCCTCACCACCCTCCTCCTGCGTCGCACCGCCGTCGTCGTCGGCACGGGTAGGCGACGAAGCGCCGCTGCCGGTGCCCAGACTGCTGTCGCTCTTATCGAAGAAGGCGTCGGCGCCGTCGAAGTTCACGGCGGAGCTCATGTACGCCAGTGCGGTGCGCTGGCGGTTCGCGGCATTCATGCTGCGTGCGTAGGCGGAGTACTGCGTGGCACGCGCAGCCGATGCCGACGGCGGCTTTGACGGAGACGTCGCCGCACCGGCGGCGGCGACGGTGCGGGAGTTGCTGCGGAGGGACGCGCTGCTCGACCGCCGGCTCGAGGCACGCGAGGAGGCGTCCGAAAAGAAAGAGTCGTTCGACGAGTGCGAGGAGCGCGATGCGTCCTCGCTGCCGCTGCTGTCAGTGTAGACGTCGTCCAGGTCATCGTTGTCGTCGCTGGAGAGGGCTGAGTGAACGGAGAAGTCTTGCGTTGAGGAGCCGCTGCGTGAGAGGTCGGCCCCCGGCGGCTGCGACGGCCCATTGCCGTGGTGGCGGTGGTGCCCCATCTTCGACCGCGTGCGAGGGGGACGCACATCCGATCGTGGCTGCCCCGACGCGGCGGCGGCGGACGCGTCATTCAGTCCGGCCGACAGGGAGGATCGGTGCTGCTGCTGCTGCGCCCGTCGCTCCGCCACTGCCAACCGGTGTGCCTCTCTCACGCGATGCGCGTTCTTCTTCGTCACAATCTTTGGAAGTTTCATGACGGCTGAGCGGAGAACCCTACGTTTTTCTTCCTCTGTTCTTCGTGCGTCGGCGTGAGGCGGAAATACCAAAGTTGCAGCTTTGATACCCGTTCTTTTTTGTTTTTCTTCTACGGACAAGACAGCGAATATCCAGCAACAACCGATGGCTCTTCTTGCTCCGTTGCCGGCACCGGACGCAGAATCCAGAAAAGAAGAAAAAGAGAAAACGGGAAGTTTACACGAGGGTAGCGCTGCACACACGATGGCGTCGCAGGTGTAGCACCCGGGACGTGGAAAGACCTCTCTGAGAGGAGGAGGGAAGGGAGCAATAAAGGACGGGAACAACAACAGGAAAAGTAAAAAATACCACGGAAAGCGCCGAAGTTGGAGGTGAACGCGCGGGTTTGGTGCCGCGTGCGAGGCGTGTATGTATATATACACTGAGGTTATAGAGGTGCAAGTACCTATCAAAGCACGTTGCAGAGGGGAGCAAGAAACGGAGAACAAAAAATAATCAAACGCAAATCAAAAAACGTCTTCTAGGGGAAACCAACGACAGCAGTCGAATACGTATCTCGTAAAAAGAAAGAAGAGTCTGACAGACGGCGAGCCAATATTAATAATAACAACAGAGGAAAAAAAAAACAGAATACAAATAGAAGAATGTAGGAGAGGGTGAAGAGAGCTTCTTTCGAGTGTACCGCGAGTTGTACTCCGCCGTACGCTACCCACACATTCATGCACGCCGAAATAACAAAACAAAAACACACAAAACTGTTGTTTTTTTTGCCTTTTTTCGTTTACAAAAAAACGAGTTTGAGGTGACTGACAATTCGAGAGGAGGCACGTGTTGTGGTTCGCAAGAGCCACAGGCGTAATACGCAAAAGAGGGAAGGGGGAAAATAATAAAAAAGAAAGGACAGAGGAGGAGAAGTCTATCAAGAGAAGGGTCATCAACAGCGACGACGACGACAACAGGAAAACAACAAAAATCCCCCACCAAAGCCACGGGGGAAAATACAACAAACAACAACAACAACAACTAGATAGATGCGCCCGCAGAACGTGCAACGAACGTTTCAGTTCGCCAACCCCCTTCCGTTGTGTCGGGTGTTGCTGTTTTGTTTTGTTCTAAAAACCTTTTCCCAATGCTCTTTCGCCGAAGCCGTTCGCCGGTCCTTTTTCTCCCCCGTCTCGTTTGGAACGCTTTGCGGGGTACGCACCACTCTCGGCGAAATAGCCTCTCACACACAGAGACACACAGAGAGCGATAGAGGCAGGTGAATGGTGGGAGAGGTGGCGAGAAAAGGAAAAGGAGAAAACAAAACAAGAAGGAATGAGAAGAGAGCGAGGAGGAGGAGGAAGAAGAATCGGACAACGGAGTAGCTACAACACCACCACCGCAAAGCTACATACACGAAAGTAATAATAATAGTAATAATAGTGAATTTAAGATAGAGAGAGAGAAGGTTGTAACAGAGAAGAGAGACAGAAGAGGAAATATAGAAATTATGTAAAAAATAAAAGCAAGAACAAAAACGCTGAAAAAAAAAGTAGTAATAATAATAATAAAAGTCAAAGGAAGTCGATCAGATCAACAGCAATCTTGCCGCGCCTGGAATAGCCAAAGCAGCAAACAAACATACAAAGAGAAAGAGGAAGAAAGGACACCTCGAGAAGGAAAATGACCAATAATGGAAAAGAAGAAAAGAAATGGAAACGCTTGTGTCAGTGGTATACAGAAGAAAACAGCAGAAAACACCAACAAAAAAGGGAATGCACAGTTGACGCAACAATAAAATAAGATGCCAGGTAAATATATATAAAGCCAGTTAATAACGTCCGCAAGCAGGGGTTCCCCGCATACAAGGATTCGCTTGCTGTATATATATCTTTCTTGCAAAATGGAAAACAAAGCCAAATGCACCCACGCTCACAGACAGACTACATGAATATATATATATTGTATTGTGAGGGGAAGGATCAAAATATCGAAAGAGAAGGAAAAGAACTATACTGAAAATAAGCGCGCTGACGCGCAGCTTTAAAAAGAGGAGGAGGAAGGAGGAAGAGAGGGAGGGAGAGAGAGAGTCAATAGTAATAATAATATATATATAAAGAAAGAATTAACGAGCTTAGAGAGATCGGCATAAGAAAGGAAAGGAAAAAAAGAAGCTTAAAAGTGGTACAAACAAAACAAACAAAACGGAAAGAAGAGCAAGGAATGAAGAGTTCGTGTGTGTGTGAAGAAAAATGAAAAAGAAAACCCGACTGCAATGGCACGCGTGAAGAAGCAAGCCAAATCAAATGTGAGGAACAGAGGAAGCGATAGCACGAGAGGACACGTTAAAGAAGAAGAGAGGAAAAGACGGAAAAACCCCAGTGTACTCCCCTAATAAGAAAACACAAGAAGTAAAAAACAAAAAACAAAGAAGAGAAAACAAACAGACAAACCGACAGCGAAGAAGAAGCCAGGTTGTTTTTAAAACCTTTTTTTTGTCTCTTGAACGTCGCACGCGAGTTGATCCCTCTCACAAAGAAATACTTTATTATATATGTGTGTGTAGGTGTGTGCAGCCTCGATACTGTCCCCTCTCCTTTTCAAAGCTTTGTTTTTCTTTTTCTTTTCTTCAAAATTCGCCTTCGCACACAAGACGCATATCATATATAAATATAAATACCAAACAAGAGCGAAAATTGGAGAGGCGAAAAAGAACAAGAAAAGCCAAAAAGGAAAATACGAGGTGCAGATGTGAGACGCTGTCACAGCAGGGAGAGTGTGCGTGTGTGTTGGCGCGTGACAGCGACAGAGTAACGGTGATGATGGTTTTTCTTCTTTTCCTTTTTAAAGCACGAACAATAATAATCGGGAGAATAAGGAGAAGAGCAGAACAAACCAGAAAAGAAAGAAACTGAACTATGCGGAGAAACAACGAGGCTGAGGGGGTGGATGTGGGTGGGGGTAGAACCAGGCCGTGCGGTGGAGCCCCTTCGTTCGGTACCGCAACGCGCTCGAAAGATTGAGTGAGAGAGAGAGAAAGAAATTGAAACAACTCTTTTTTTGGGTTTAGTGTTTTTTACAACTTTCAGTTTTTGCGTTTTATTTTAACCGTACTCGTCCTCCTTTACGCGCGCCCCTGAGCAGTTCCTTCCTTTCTTCTGTGTTGTACCTGTGTGTGTGTGTGTGTGTGTCTGATAGGCTTCAGGCACCCGCACATCCATGAAAAGCGCCAGCTGACAACGACAGCGAATTGCCAATCTACTCCAGTGCTCCCTCTGCACAGGATCGATGTGTGTGTGTGTGTGTGCGTGGGGTTGGGATAACACCACCCATAACACCACAAGAACAGAAGGCGAGAGGAAGAACAACAAAGAGATAGCGTGAGGGTGTGAGACGGGGTAGGAAACCCGCGTGCCTTTCATTAGTATTGTTTAAAGGCGTACCAGCGGCAGCTGCAACAGGAGCAGCGGCACATCAAACGCACGGGGATCTGTGAAAGATCTGTGCGCACATCCAATACGAGAAACGGCGTACACGCGGTTTGAGTTCCTCCTTTTTCTTTAAAAAAAAATCTCGTGCGGTTTTGGAAAGCGAAGAATAACAACAATACAGGGCTGCGACGTTCAACGCAACGGACTCGCAGCGAGACCGTCACGCACGCACACACGCTTCTTCCTATACATGTATACTTCTTACTGCTTTCTATTTTTGGTTTCTTCGTACCACTGCGAGACCATTCCTCTCGAGGCCCGCGATGAACGCGTGGAATTTTCTTTTAGTACCGCCGTGGCGTGGAGAAGAAGGAAATAGAAATCCAAAACGGACGTGGAAAAGGTGAGCCACCGGGTGGTGCCGCAAAGAAGCTTCGAAAAAAGGCGAAAAGGGAAGATGAATAAGAGCGAGAATACACGCTGACACACGCACTCGACGTATGTCTTCGTTTTACCACGCAGCCAGCGTGTGTGTGTGTGTGTGTGTGTGTGCTGTATCACCGCCTGCCAAAATGTTAAATTTTTTCTCTTCTCGTAGCGTTGCAAGGTCCCACTTTACCTCTCCCCCCCCCTCCATCTCCCTTTCCTTGCATCGTGCGTGCCCGCCATTTCTCGCGCCTGTGTCCCCCCCTCTCCCTCTCCCCCCGCCCCCGATTGCCTCCTTCAAATAATAATAATGAAAAGAGCATCTGCTACAACAACAGCGGCGATACACAGTAGTACTTCATTTTCTTCCTGTTTTATTTTTGCTTTTAGTGGCTGCTGTCGATGATTCGAAAAAATGAGAAAAAAAAACTACTAAAAAATCGGAGGAGTAAAACAACAAAAAAAACCCAAAATGTGGTTGCACGCCGCATCAACATAATTGCTTTTTCTCCTTCCTGCTGTGCGTGTGTGCTGTGCGTCTCGCATGTCTTTTTTACTGTATATTTTTTTTCTCTTGTGTGCCCGGCTGTCTCGCTCATCTTGACGACTCCGCACGCAGGGAAACACGCATCGCGACCATGACCTTTCCTTTTGGGTCCCTCGTCGTGCGTCGTGTTTACGCCTTGGGGGCGTACTTGGGGTACTTCTTCCCGAGGATCGGCTGGAGGCGCTGGCGGACCTCCTGCGAGATCCCCTCCGGCTCCGTCATGACCGCGTTGGCCAAGGCGTGGTGCGCCGGATCATCAAAAAGGTTCTCCGCCAACGCCCTAATGATCAGCGGCGGGTAGCGCTGCGCCTTCTCCGCGTTCGCGGCGACCGTCTTGAGCACCTGTTTCGTGTCCACGTGCGGAGCGTCGCTCCAGGCGTCCATGTCGGTCACCATCGCCACCGTCACGTACGCAATCTCCGCCTCCCGCGCGAGCTTCGCCTCGGTGCTGGTCGTCATGCCAATCAGGTGTCCGCCGAGCTGCTTGTTCAGGAGCGACTCGGCCTTGGTGCTGAAGAGCGGCCCCTCCATCGTCACAATCGTGCCGCTGCTGTGGATCTTGAACTTACCCGTCCCCTCCGCCGCCTCGTCCTCGAAGCAATCCTTAAGTGCGGCGGTGGTAAGGGTGTTCAGAGTGCGCGACATCGGATACGCAAAGTCCACGTGTGCCACTATACCGTTCTCGAAGAAAGTGGACTTGCGCGCCACGGTGCGGTCCACCAGCTGGTTGCACACCACAAGGTCACCAGGCGTGTAGTCGGCATCCAGCGAACCGGCGGCGTTGATGGCGATGATGTAGCGCACACCGAGCTGCTTGAGTGCGCAGATGTTGGCGCGGTAGTTCACTTCGCTGGGGTTGAGCTGGTGGTGCACGCCGTGACGCGGCAGGAAGGCGCAGAAGACGTTGCACACCTTGGCCACACAGATCGGTGCGCTCGGGGTGCCGAAGGGGGTGTCGATGTCGTAGTACTTCGCGCCCTCGAGGAAGTCCAGCTTGTAGACGCCGGAGCCGCCGATGACGGCGATCACGACGGGCTCGGGATGCGGGCTGGCGTACATGCTTCTTCTTTCCCTTTTTTTTCCCGTTAGATATGTTTTGTTTTCCGTATACTGTCGTCTTTTGATGAGAGATGAGGGAGAAGCAATCAAGCACGTGAAAGAGATGTGTCTGTGTGTGTGTGTGTCGTTAATAGAAAGAGAGAGGTTTGTGTTCTGCAGGATGGCACCGATGAGTGCGTGTGTGTGAATGTGAATGTGAATGTGAGGGTGAAAGGATCATCATTCAGGGGGAAAAAGATGAATGGCGGAGTGCGCGGCACTGGGGGCGAGAGAGCGTGGCTTACACACAGACACACACACACACACACGAGTCAGGGGTTAAACCGAACTGAAGAGCAAGCCGAGTGCCTGCGTGTGTGAGTTAGAACATCAAGAAGTCACCGTATTAGCTGCGGAGAACGCTGTTCATCGTAGACGATCACGTGCACTGGGAAGGATGAGTCCCGTGCACTTCACCAAACGGCGAAATTCACTCACTCTTCTTTTTACAAAAACTTTATATCTCTGCTTTCTTACTTTCGAGCTAAAAAAGGATGGGTCTGCTGCGCACAGTTCTACCGTCCACCATCGACAACCGCCGCCACCACAGCCAACCGTGCTAACAACAGGTTCAACCTTCATCATCATCACCCACAACAAACGAATTAAGAGAAAAACGACACGTAGGACTGCTGCTCGACATTTTATTGTAGAAATTGAACCTTTATGCGCTTTAAATAATTATCCGAGTATTACAAAAAAAAATGCCTAAAACAGAGTCGGCGACGCAGGCGCGCGTCGGTGCCGCGGACACGCCCCTCTCAGCGTGCTCCGCCGTACTCCTCTCCACTTGCTTTTGATTGTTTCTCTTACCGCTTGTGGCGCGCCTTGTAGTCGAGGAAGCCGTCCAGGTTTTCCAGCAGCTCCGCCCACTGCTCCGCCTCCGGCGTCGCCATCGAGACACCCAACTTTCGCTGCGTCGCCGCGTCCAGCTGCGCACGCCGCCGCACGTACGCCGCCAGCTGCAGCGCAAAGTTCTTCAGACTCTCCTGCACCCCAAACGGCCAGTACACCGCCGCGTCGTAGCGTTCGTCAAGGAAGAGGTCGACGAGCGTGTTCGCTGCCTCGCTGCGCACTGTCGCCGCGGCGTCCACCACGGAGAGCTGCTGCATCCACTGGCGTCGCGCTGCCGCATCGACCGGCACGTTCGCCGCGACGAGCCCATTGAACGCCTCCATCAGTTTCCTGTGGAAGGTCACAGACGGTCCGCCGTTCGCGACAACAGCGAGGGCGAAGCGGGTGGCCGTGGCGACGGCTTCCGGCTCCTGCATCGACGCACAGAGCAGTCCGACCGCACCGACGCAAGCTTGCTTTAAAGAGGCACTTGCGGCCGATTCCCATGAAATTCGCACGAGCACATCGACGTCGGCCGCCGTCGCCTGCACGTCGTTGTGCGACGCGGCTGCTGTTGCGGCTACGACGAGGCCGTCGCCACTGTAGGCCTTGCTTTGCTTGCGCTGCATCGTCCAAAGCATCTGCCCCAGCGACTCCAACTGCAGCCAGATGAGCTGATGGGCGTTGGCAGAGTGCTGAGCAATGTTTGCCGGCATCGTGCGATCCATTTGTTCCTGTTGATGACGCTGCTCGGCTGCTGTGAAGGCCGCCGCTGCCGCCGCAGCGTTGAGGTGCAGCTCGTAGCGGTGTTGGACCGCCAGCATCAGCGCCCGCCAGGTCCGAGATGGGTCGCCGAGACTTGCCACCGGCAGCATCAGCAGCAGCGTACTCGCAACTTCCCACACGTTGACCTCGGTGGAGAGCAGCACCATCTGCAGCTCCGTCGCGGCCGCGTTCGACGCCGCCTCCGCACGCAGGGCGCGCTGCTGGGCTTGCTGGGTGACAACATCCGTGCCGCCGCTGCTGCCTTCCCCGCCGTCCCTCTGCGATATCCACAACACGTCCTTCAGCAACAAGCCAAAGGCGTAGAAGACGCTGCTGGACTGCAGGAGGGTGGTCAGCGGGTTGGCGGCAAAGGCGGCCTCGTCGTCCTGCTCCGCACTCCGTCGCGCATCGCTCTGCTCGCCCACCACGTTTGCTACGACGTGCAGGAGCCGCACCGCGGACTGCGTGCTGCGCAGACGCTGCATCGCCAGCAGCGTCACCGCACTCCGCAGCTCCTCGTCACCGACCTCGCAGGTATCCATCAAGATGGGCAGCAACCCACACCAGACGTGCATCGGCAGCGAGACCTTCAACAGCGCGTCGCACAGCAACGGCAGGACCCGCTGCACGTTTGCGGTCACCGGGGCGACGTGCAGCAGCATGCCCTGCATCGACAACGTCACTCGCAGTAACGTGTACAGCACACGCTCCCGCTCGAGCGCCACGGGGGTGTGCAGCGGGCCAACAAAACCGGGAAGGGCTGCATCACTGAACCGCTCCTGCAGCTGCACCTCCGCTGGAGGCTTCTCGGCTAACCAGGCCCGCAAGTCTACCGCATCCACCGCCGTCCGCAGGAAGCTGCGCTGCTCCGCTGTCACGCCCGGTGAGGCGGCGGCAGAGGACGTCGAGGATGACGACGATGCGGACGGCGCCGATTCCACCGCCGTCGTCAGGAGGTGCGTGAGCGACGGGTTCTCTGGGCTGAGGAGGAGCAGCACCTCGGAGGTGGAGACCGCGAGCGACGCCAGAAGAGCGGCCTCGCGGCGCTTGTACGCACGCATTGCCAGCACCGCATCGCTCGCCGTCGCCGTCGTCGTCGTGGCGGCGGTGGCGCTGGTCGCGACACCTTCCGTGTCGTCCGCGAAGTACCGCGCTGACGGATGGAGAAGGGTCTCCCAGGTGGTGGTGGTGGCCACGCGCAGCACATCGAGCAGCAGGCACAGCACGGAGGCGTCGGAGAAGGTAGCAGCGCAGACCTCGTTCGCCTCAACGCACACCCCCGCCAGCGCCAGCACCTCCTCCAGGTGGCGGAGAAGGGTGAAGTAAATGTTCCGCGTGTTGCCAGCACCACGTCTCCGCCGAGCTAGTTCGTGTTGTTGCTGCGGCTGCTGTTCATGTGGATGGAGCTGTGCTGCTGCGCCGTCCGCCGCGTCGTCCCCACCCGCATCGTTCTCCTCGAGAAAGACCTCCATCCAATCATTCGGCGTCATGCGACGACGCGCCTCCTGCACCCGTGACCAGTCCTCCCGCACCAGCGCCGCCAAGCCTTCCGCGAAGCTCAAGCCGGAGACAGGGTCGACCACACCGATGCCCGTCAACGCGTCCACGACGCGGTCTTGTTCGCTGTTCGTGACGAGGCTGCGCAGCGCATCAGCGGCGGCGAGTTGCACATACAGGATGTCCTTGCGCAGTTGCGGAGTACCATCTCCCGCCTCTTCGCCCTTTCCCCTGTTGTCGGTGTTCCCCTCCTCAGTTGTGGCTTCCGCGGCGTACGGCGGAGTAAAGAGCAGCAGCTGCGTCAGTCGCTGTGGCACCCCTTCGCGAAGAAAAGCCTCGTTGCGCTTCGCTTGCAGGGCAAAGAGAGCAACGTCGCTGCACGCGTCTTCCAGCACGGCGTACTCCGTCGACTCCCGCAGCTGCTGTACGCACGGCGGTAGCGACGCTGCCAGATTCGCCGCCGCGTTGCTGTCGCTGCGAATGCCGATGGGCAGCACGTTGACGCTCTCGCACCCGCCTTCGTGGTGCTCGGCGGGGCGCTGCCGTAGGGGTTTTACCGCGGCCTTCTTGCGGCTCTTGTTTGGCTTGCCCATCTCGTTTTATCCTGATCTTTCTTGTTTTGTATTCTTATTTCTTTCACCGCGAGCGGCTGCCGCTGACGACGATTCTTCTTCGTGTGATCTCCGTAGGGGAGTAATGCGCGAAGGCCCTCCTTGTGCTGCGTCGCGGAGGAGGAAAACAAATGAGAAAACAAAAATAGGAGAGGAGAAGAGACCGTTGCACGCGGACGATGAGGTGGCGCAGCTGGAACAGCAGATTCAAGATGAACAATGCACCGCACCCCCCACACACCCACTCACACACATCTATCAACCTTCTGTTGACGAGATACTCCACTGAATGTTAAGGTTACGTGGCGCCCGCACAGAGTGGTGCCACGCCCACATCTTCCATGACGGGTGCTCTTCGCTCCGTCAACGGAGGCCGACGGTCGCAAAACACGCGTAAGACACAAAGCTTGCCGCGGCGCGTGTGTGTGTGTGTGCTGGGGAAGAGAAACGACATTGAAGCACGCCATTCGATGGGGTAACGGTGAACGCGCTTTCATATGTAGTGGGTGCGTAGACCCCGAAGGACGGCAGAGGATAAAACAGATTCGCAGTCTCGCAAACGCGCTCGTGAAAGATGAAAGAGGACGAATAAGGAAAACCCCAAAAAGGGAGGTCACACGCAGAGCGCCGGCACGAGCGCTCACATTTCGACAGAGACACCCCCTACGAAAAAACAACAACAACTGGGAGAGAAGCACGCGCGCGAAAGCGACAACTGACGAGGAACAGCTCAACGAATCGTTCAAGTAGAAACCTAAGCCGCCATACCAAACGCAACGAAGACAAATAGAAAAAAAAAGAAAAGGGAAATAGCACGATAGAAAGCGCCGCGAGAGATCGGCCAGTACACAGTCAACAAGCAACAAACGCGTGGAACATGAACAGATGATACAACACACACACACACCATATGTATATCCCCCCTCCCCCTCCCCCTCTTGGCTCTGAACAACAAAAAGAGAAGGTGGGCCTGCACATTTCTACGCACCTTCCACATCACACAGCAGCCCGTCAGAAATCAATAAGCTCCGCATCGATCCCAAATGAAGAACACACATATTATAACGAGGGAGAGAAAGCGCTCATGAGCACGGTTGTGGCGCATGTTTCTCTCCCCGTTTTCACCTTTTCTATTTGTCCTCCTCTCGACACACACACACACACACACACTTTACCTGTTAAAGAGACTCGAGAGTCCTGCCTTCACCGCATCGCGGGCGAACGGAATGTAGGACAAGATGTACCACCCCAGCGCGCAGATCTGGACGAGACACATGATGATCGTCAAGACGCCGCTGTCGAGCACCACCGCACAGATAATCGTCAGCACCATCGAGAGGAGATACACCGCAGAGGCGATCCAGCGGCCCTCGCTGAACATGCTCTTGAACTGGCGCACCGGTCCTGCGAGGAAGAAGGTGCTGCCGAGGATGGCGAGGTTGCCGGCGGAGAAGAGGACGCCAAAGAGGGCGTACTGCATCAGGAAGACCGTCACCCAGCTGAGCACGAGGAGGATAAAGCCGAAGCCGCAGCACGCCGCACAGCCCTGCAGCCGCTGCTTGAAGCTGAGGGAGGGGCACAGGCTTTCTTCGCTATCGGCCATGTGGGCCGCGTTGCTCGCGCTACTCAGCACACCGCCGCTGGTGCTGACCGAGATGATGGAGGTGACTTTGTCCATGTTGTGCGATAAAGAAATTACAAAAAAAGGGAAATATATCAGCTGATGTGAACGATACCTCTCTATATACAAACACACACACACAGTTACTCTCCTTCTCCTCCAACTTTGATTGCCGCGGAGGAGAAATGGGTGAATGGGAAAGATAGAGAAAGATCTGGGAAGAGAAACTGCAGTAGAGATGGAAATATGCACTGCTGCGTCAGCATTAAAAGACATGTGCATTTGTATGCGTGTGTTGATATATATATATATATATATATATATATATATGTGTGTGTAGTGTGTGT